GGGCCGCTGGGGGAGCCGCAGACCCGTGGAGCAGGGCGCGCAGAGAAGGCGCCACAGCTGCCGGGTGAGGGCGCTGAAGCCCCAGACTGGGGGCGCAGCGGCCATCGCGCGCAGCCTGGAGCGCGTTCTTGGGGCTCCAGGGCCAGGGTCTCCGTAGGCGGGCATAAAACCCCACGCACGCCAGTGGTTTCCCAGAAAAGGCGGCCACCAAGCAGAGAAGACAGTCCTGTGTCGCAAAATGGGTTCTAGACTCTTAAATCTCACCACCTTTTTTTACATCTCAGGAAAGAGGGGCATTAGGAAGAGACTCTGGTGTGGGCACTTAGCAGTCCCTCCGGGAAGCAAATGGTGGGCTTTCAAAGAGACCTTCGTTGGAAACGGGAGTCAGACACCCCGGTCATGGCTGTAGACAATGACCTTGATCTCTCTGGGCTTCCTTTAACCTGAGGAAAATGAGTTCTATGATGCTTCCTGGCCAGAATGACAGGCTTTAAAAGAGGATGCGAGAATAGGGGTACCCAGTGCATAGCAGGTGCTCAGCAAGTTGAGTCCTTCCGGTCTGTGCCTCCTTAACTAGACAGCCAGGTCCTCAAGGGTCAAAGAAGGTATGACTGCTCGAGCTGTCCCCTGCCAAGGAAACAGGGCTAGGAACAGGGGCCCCTAACAGGCCCCCAGAGCCCCTGGGGTCTCCTCTCTCCTCTGCCACTAGCTTGCTGTGCATCCCAGGCCATCCGCTCCCCCTCTCTGAGTCTCTGTTCAGTGGTTGTTTGTAAAATGAAGGCTCTGATACCAGTTCTCCAACCCCCGACTTTCGTGGAGCTTCAGCTCGGCCCCGGAACCTGGGTAACTGGAGTCCCCCTGGAATCCCCCCGGAATCCCCCGGGACTGCCCAGCGAGCTTCCGCACAGTGCTCGGTGAGACCAAGCCTGCGAGGAGGGTCCTGGTTCTCGGCAGCACACTCCAGGGCCAGGAACTGACATGCAGATACGAGGGCAGAGCTGTGGTCAGACAGAAGCTGCCGGCGTCTGTGTCCATGCCTTCCGGGCTGGGACAGAGCCTTGCCCACCTGGCTCCCCCGCGGCACCCCGCACTCCCGCCCCGGGCCTTGCCCGGAGAGCTCTGTGGGGCCGGTTTTCTGGATTCTCAGCTCTCCCTCGGCTTCT